GGCCCCGAGGCGCGCCCGCGGAACCCGACTTTCTGCTTCCTTACGACTGCGCCAACTTCCGCGAAGAAGGTAGTCGGCGTGCGCGAGGTGGGAGACCCGCTCGTGGCCCGTGCCCACGGGCTCCCTTCCTCGCCCGCCACTCCCGCGCCCTTTCTCTCGGATTGCGCGCCCGCCGCCTGCTGTCACCTCTCCCCGGTCTGCGTCGAGGCCACCGGCTAGGTGGCAGCAGCGGGCGCGAGCCCGAAGGCTTTGGGTGCCTTAAGGTGACCCTTTTGACGTTCTGCTCGCCCAGGACCTCGCCTGTAACTAGCCGACCACCGCACCCCCGTCTTCAGCTCTTTGTGGCCTTTCCCGACCCCACGTGGGCCCTGGAGTCGTTGTGCCCTAGACGGGGTCGTCGGCGCCTCGCCTCGCTCGCTCGTGGGCAGCGCAGAAGGCAGCGAGAGGCCGGAGGCTGAGGTCACGCTGAAAATCCCCGAGCCGGGCACCGCTGCAGATTCTTCCCCACAAGGAAACAGATAAACAGACACAACTGCGGCAGGCAAATTTTAGGTTTCCTGCCAGATTACAGAGGATATGACCAACAAGAGCCTTTTTTTTTTTTTTTTTCCCCCTCACAGCTGATTGAGGCCAGGACACCTGAAAGGCCTGCCTGGGGACCAGCTACAAGTGACAGCAGAGTTGGCAGGATGACTGCTAGCACGAACGCCAGGAGCTGAATTCTGTTTCATTCTTAGTACAGTATTTAGTTCCAAGCGGAAAAAGCCAAAGGCCTGACAGGTTTCGGCGATGCAACCTAATGCTTCTTGGTGTGGGCTCCTGTCGCTCAGAAATTTCCTGTGTGATAGGGTGGTTGGGGTAAGAGGTCAGCACTCTGCAAGGCTCAGGAGCAAGTTTAAATTGAAAAATCAGGGCTAATCACTTGCTGTCTGGGGTTGGGTTTGTGACTGAGAGGTCGCATGACTCAGTACATTGCCTGCAGTAAACGATGCCTGTAGCTGGATAATCTCCCACTCCTCTGGCCAGGCCCACTCCGCTGGCAATCTACCAGCCCTGCAGTAGGACAGGGTCATCCCATGCCTCATATCTTTAGATGACTAAGATCAGGATTGCCGAGCAATGCTGTCAGGCCAAATGTATGGTCAAAGTCTGCCCTGGGTGAAAGATCTGTGTCTCAGCTAGTGTGAGGGAGGCCTTGCTTTGGAGCCATGAAAGATCTAGCCTTTGCGCAGGATGAGGACTTAGCTGTAGCTCCCAAAGCTCCATTTTTGTATTCACTCCAGATGCTAATCTGAACTCCGCAGCCCAGACAGAAGTGGAAGCCTATAAGTTGGGCTAATTAACACCCCCCAAAAAAGAAGTGTGTGCAATGAAATGGAAAACCAAGGAAAGGTATTCCTGCCTGGCCAGTTCGTGTTGTGACAGGTAAAGCTGTAGGGAGTCTATTCAGAGCCTTACATGGAACCTTACCTCGCAACAAGCTTGACTCAGACTCAGCCCAGCTACTTAATCAGTTTTTCTGAAAAATAGGTTTCTTTGGTCCCTCTATGGGTTTGTCTGTAGCTATCCTACCTCTAACTGGCAATCAAAACACCATGTAAGGAGCCAGGGGTATAGCTCAGCGGCACAGTACCCACCTTGCAAGCGCAAGGTGCTGAGTTCAATTCCTGGTACCACACACACACACACACACACACACACAGGACATCTTGTAAATTGTAAACAGAATGAACATATCACATAAAGTTATACATGGACATACCATATGATCCAAAATTTCCACTCTTTTTCCAAAGAATTGAAAAGCCGTTAAACAAAAACTCGTTTGGCTGTGACCAGGGCAGCTGTTGCGAATGGCCAAAAGCAACAGAATGCCTATCAGTGAATGAAAGGGTGAACAATGTGGTATTTCCATACAATGGGATTATTCAGTCAGAGATCTTGGGGTGGGGTGGGGCTGTGGCTCAGTGGTGGGATGCTTGATTACCTGAACTCCTAGACTCAATTCCCCAAGAAAGAATGAAGTAGTATCACATACAAAAAAGGATGTACTGAAGCATAGAATATGAATGAGCTTTACAAATAATATGCTGAGTTGGGCACAAAGTAACCTGTAATTCCAGCATGGAAGGAGGCTGAAGCGGGAGGATCACAAATTTGAGCCCTACCTAGGCAACTTGCAAGACCTTGACTTTAATTTTTTTTTATTTTTATTTTTATTTTATTTGTGTGGCGGGGAGATTGATTGAACCGCGGTCCCTGTGCTTTGCTAAGCTTGTTCTAAGTAGGTGTTTTAGACCACTGAGCCATCTCACCAGCCCCAAGACCTTGACTTTAGAAAAAAAAAAAAGTCTGGGAATGTAGCCCAGTGTAAAGTGACCCTGGGTTCAATCCCTAAAACTAGAAAAAACAAAACAGTTGTGTTCAGTGAGAAAAAAAGGCCACCTATCTTACAGAAATGTTCAGAATAGGCAGAGCCAGAGAAGCAGAAACCAGATTAGACCGCTCAGAGTTGCCAAGGGCTAGAGGGATGACGGAAGTAGGGAGAGTGCTCAGAATGGACACAAGATTATCTTTGATGAAAATGTTTTGGAACTAGATAGTAGTGAGGGTTGCAGGGCACTGAATGTACCAAAAGCCACAAGATTGTACCCTGTGAAACGGTCAGAGGATGACTTTCAACGTTACATGCATTTTACTGCAGTATACAAAAAATGAGTTAGAGAAAAGACATTATTTAACAGTGAACTTCCCCCAGGATGATGTAATGAATGAAAAGCACCACTGCGTTTGTTTCTATGCCTCACCGTAAGTGGCACCAGAAGTAATCTAAGGGTCACCCTGAAATGATAGTGGTGCTATTTTAATTTTCAGATGCGTTGTTTCATAAGTGAAAAAAGGTCCAAACTCTAAGGGACTGGGGAGTGTACTGGCTCGAATCAAATCTGGGTGCTGTTTCCAACAGATCCAGATGTCCCTTCATTAGAAACATCTGGATTGTTGGAGCCAGTTCATCCATATGTAAATGAGGGGCCTAGATGCCCCCTGGAGCTGTGCTCCAATGATAGGAGCAGTTGATTACTTGCAATGTTCTTTCCGGAAACTCAAAATTTAATGCTAAACGGTTTTGCAAGAGAAATAATGAAAGTTGTAACTACGAATGAGATACATCTTCCGGTGACATCCGCCTTTCGCCTTTAGGAAAGAGCGAGCCCTTTCCGGTAATGCTGCCATTCGTAAGATCTCCTGCTTGAACCCTTGGAGTAGAAAGACTTCTCCTTTACAGTCAGTTAATTTTCCATTTTTAAAAAATGATATTACTGAGCTTCTTTACCAGTCTTTGTGCCAAATAACTTGGGGCTGTTTACAGAAATCAAGATAATCCACATAGGACAAAAATGTGTCACTCTCAGACATACCCAAAGGAATGTGCCAGAGGCTCCAGAGACAGTTCCAAAGAAGAGTTTAAAAATGTCTCTTTTTGAATGATGGAAAATATAAGTTCAATAATTGTGCTGCTTGCCAAGGTAAGTACTCCCCAGGACGGGACAACACCCACTTCGATGTGTTTATTTAGAGATCTGTCACATGACTTGATGGTTAAACCTTAGCTTAATTTTCTAATAAAGATGATGCGTTATCTTCCAGCGTTCTTCTTACACAACTCTCTTGGGTTTCACCATCAATATAAAAATAGGTGGCTTCGCATTCCTTCTTGCGGATGAAGCAGGCATGCGCTTTTTCAGACTTCCTTTCCTTCCCAGGAAAGGAAGGGAATTCCCGAGCTCTCCCCTGCTACTACCCTCTTACATTTGTGCGATCTTTGCAAAGCACTTTGGCCTACTTTATCTTATTCACGGTTCATAGCGGCCTCACCAGGAGCACCCAGCATTCGCCTCCCTGTTCTTGGACACAGGGAGAAGCTGATGGGAGGACATGCTTAAATAAAAATTTCTCAAAGCCCCACTCACCATGGCCATTTGCAGTCAGGCCTGGAAACTCCCTCATTTGAAGCTTAAGGTAGTGCTCTGTTTGATCCCCCCAAATGGGCCTAGTGCTCAGAATGCTTGTATGTATGAAGACAAACCAGAGGCCGGCTAAGCTGCACTTAGCCTCCTGCGTTGTGGTGTCCAGAAGTTCCCTTTGTCTGTTGTTTGGGCTGTTTTCCCCGCCCCCTGCGAGCTAGCTGCCATCTTGAAGTCCCCCATCTGTTGGGCTGATTCTACTAAGATGTTTCCGACTCTGCACTGGGAGCTGAGAAGCTGCTTGTAAAGTGTTCCAGGTGGCTGATGGAGCCGAGCGTGGGGCACTATCTCCCAGGTGTGTAAAGCCCCGCACTGTATTCACTTAACCTGACTTAGATTGAAAGGGGCAGCACTTCTTTGGTAGTGAAATTTGTTGTTGCTCTTAGCCAAATTAACTTCTTATGTGGAAAGTTTTGTATGAAACCAGACATGTGGAATCGGATTGCGGGTGGTTTTGTTTGTTGTTGGTAGTAGTGGAAAACATGACTTTAATTACTGGTTGTATTTTTCTCAGCCTCTGAAAGGGAACCATGAGCTGCTGCTGACCAGCTGGGACCTGAGCGTGTTGGAAGTCAGAAGCTGGTGCCCTTTTTGTAGACACACACCAGGACCTCTAAATGCTTACTTACATCTTTCCTGCTGCATCAGACCTGCTTCTGGGCAATCTGCTGGGTAACACCGCGCTCAAGGCTGCGTCTGTTCACCTGGTACTCTTTCTGAGACGCTGAAAACACTTCCCCTACCATTACCACTTTTAAAGCCAGAGGTACTCGTGATGTCTTATTGTCTTTAAATGTCCTTCGCCCAAAAAAAGCAAGAGTTCTTAATTAACCTAAGTTTTATTCCTCTGGGCAAGTTCAGGTTGGCATTCTGAATTTATGCCTTCCTGTCGCGATACCCTGCTGCCAGTGTGTGGCAGCAGGCTTTTTTTTTTTTTTTTTTCACTAGAATGCTGGATTAACGAGCCTGGACCTGCCACTTCCAGCAAGCACACTCTTAGCAGGCTGGCTCTGGCTACAGGGTAGCCTCACAGGCCGTGGCCTGCAGAACTGGCCTTTACCTCATATAAAGTGCCAGGAAACACCAGCTGATGGACTCTATCATTGGACAGCAAAGGCTCCCCTAGGGCTTCTCAGAAGTGATCCAGGGGCCCACGTGGCCTTTGTCAGGCTGTCGCAGACTGGCTCCAGAGCACATAATGTCATCAGCTTGTCTCTCTCCGCATTCCTGCATCAGCTGCTGAAAAGAAGAAAAGCAAGCTCGTGGAAGAATTCTGGGAAAGGCTGCACCTCCAGAGTCGGAACGACATCCTGGAGGGCTGAGAAGGCTCTCCTGGCTGTGCCGGACCCTTGCAGGGAGATAAGAGGCCGAAACAGGAGCCAGGAGAAGTGGCTCGGTGTGTGCCTGGCAACCGCGTCATTCTGACTGCTTGCACTGTAGTAGGCAGAGTTCCCTGAAGTAGCGAGGTAAGGCTCTGCTCTGTCGGAAACACTATGACTCATGGCAGCCTGCCTGCCATTCATTTTGTTCTCTGGTGAAGGCGTGTAGTGCAGTGGGCAGAGCTTGTGTAAGAACTCAGCTAGCAGACCCAAGCCCGATCTCTCCTAGCTTTGGAAGGGGAGTGGTTATAGCGAAAGATCGCTTCGGCGCAGTCTGCCCATACCTGGGAGACTTAAGAATCTGTCTTTAAAATCCCTCCAGAGGCTCAGCAATATCGCCACTGTTGTAATGTTCTCCTGTATCTTCCCTAAGCACTCCTGTCTGTGGTTTAAACGGATTTCTTCTCTCTCTCCTGCTCAGCTTTGCTTAAATTGGTGGTGGGAACCCCAACGGGATCTGTTTCCGGTTGCCTGGTAACGAGAAGACAGTCCATGGCGATGCGGGGCCATCCTGCATCAGCTGAAGAAGGGCGGGCTGTATTAGAAGCCATCGGTGGCCTCAGGAGCCACCTTGTCACCAGAGAGGCGAGGCCAGCGAATGGGAATGCTGGCACGGTACAGTAAGAACGGGGCCTTTGTGTGTACATGCTGTGAGCTGGGGTGTTTGCAGGGTGATCCTGGAAGATGGCGTGTGGCCAGTCAGTGGTGTTATCCGTCATGCTTCCTCTGCTGCACAGCTCTGTCCTCAGGGCTGTGGGGCTGGCGGATGGCTAACGGGCACGCATGTTAGGACTTCAGCGCATGCCTCCTGCTCGGGGTGTGCATGCCCCCCACAGCCACTTGAACAACCCTTTGGCCTAGGGGTGGGCCTGTCTGTAGTGTAGGCTCCCCTCAGGACAGACCTACCTGCAGGGAAGTGGCTTGGCCTGGGGTCAAGGTTCATAAGGACCTTGGGATTCCTGGTAGCTGCGGTTCAATCTAAGAGGAAGTTCAGGTCCTTGGGGGTCCCTTGGCCTTGCGCCATTTGCAGGGCCAGTGTTGGAGAGGCCGATTGGATCCTCGAAAGCACTGTCCTGCAGGGGCCTCTCTTGCCCAGAGTGAAGGGTCGAACCGGCTGCGAAGATGCCATAAGATAATGCCCCGTTGCCCCTTTCATAGGAGCCAAGCCAGATTGCAGACTCCCAAGTTCTCGGTCTCTTGAGATGGATCCCAGGGGGCCCTTTATGGATGTCCAACAGCAGCATTCCACTGGTCATCCACAAGCCAGTCCTTGTTTGTGGACAGCTCATGCCCAACCCCCACACCCCAAGAGTCCACTGAGGCCCTTCCGAGACTACCCCCGGCTAAGAGCCAGAGAGCACTTTATGAAAAGCCAGCCGCGTGATGTACGATGTTGTGGACTCCTTCTTGGTTATCCTGTCACCTTTCCACAGCAGATACTCAGTGGACGCGCGCTCCCATCAGATGTGCGCTAGGGTCTGAAGACTCGCCCCAGAGAGGTGGGCAGGAGCCATGAACCATCCCTCTGCTACCCGTGTGTCTACGGATAGCCTGTCATCAGCCACTCACACACTCTGAGCCTTATTTTCTTTATCCCAAAATAAAAACAAGCAAACAAAAAACTGAAACTGAGAATGACTAGTAGTTGTTGATGAGAAGATTAAGAGTGATAACCCGAAAAGCACCTAGCGTAGTGCCTGGGCCAGGGTGGCGGCAACAAGGGGTGTTCTTTGCTGTTAGGAGTGAGGATTAAATTCCTTAAGATGGCTGGCACACAACTATAATCCCAGCCGTTTGGGAGACAGAGGCAGGAGGGCTGTGTCTGAGGCCAGCCAGGCAACTTAGTGAGACCATGTCTAAATGAAGAAAAAATGATTTAAAAAAACAATAGAAATTCAAAAATCCAAACTATATTTTACATTTTCAGAACTCTCAACACATATAATACTTTTTATCAGAAGTACTGAACCTGTACTTAGACTTCTTAAAACTTAGTCAAAGCGACACACCTGTGAACAGATACTTGGAGGCTGAGGCAGGAGGATCATAAGGTCTGGCCTAGGCAACTTCATGAGCCTATGTCTAAAAATCAGAAAGGCTCTAGATGTAGCTCAAAGGTAGAACACTGGGCTAGCACGCGAGAGGCTTGTCGCTCAGTGGTAGGGCCCTGGCCTGGCATGCCTGAGGCCCAAGGCTCAGCGGTAGACCCCTTGCCTAGATGCCTGAGGCCCGTGGCTCAGGGCTAGAACACTGGCCTTACCCTTGCCTCAGAGGCCCTAGGTTCAATCCTCAGCACCACATACGTGCCTCCATATAACTTAAAATTGAAAAAGTAGATTCACACAACCAAGTTATCCTAAAGGTACTTAAACATTTTCTGGTCACTGAGTCAAGTATCAGTCTTCAAATGAAAATGCATAGCTTTAAATAAAATACAGAAGTCTGTTTCTAAGGGATGCTGGTCACATTTGGCGCATTCAGTAGTTGCATGGGGCTTGTGGTCATTTCCTGGGCCGGTCCCTGGGAGGTGGCCAGGAACCTTGAGCGACTGGACAGAGGAGAGGCCTCGCAGGGAGGCAGAGTGGCCTGAGAGCCAGCGTGTGCCCGAGATGAGCAGAAGCCAGTTTGCTCGGGACGGACCATGAAATCACGCCTGTGTTCTGGTTAATTTGTTCTGGCACCAGGAGGAGTGCTGAACCTGAGTCCTGAACACACTTTTCCCATAAGAAATAAATCATTAGAAGAATCTGTGAAACTGGGCTGTTTAATTAGCCTTTTGGGCTCAGTGTTACCGTTCTGTCTTGTGAGCCATAATTAGGCCTTAAAATGCACAGACGGTCAAGACGTGATGAGCGGCTGGGGCTTTGCACCGTGTGAGAGCCCCAGTGCTGAAGCCTTCTTGTCCCCATGAAAATGCAAGCACAGGGGTTGACAGGTCCTGAAGCTCGCAGGGCTGAGGTACGGCTGGAGCCAAGGCTGGAGGGACAATGTGGGATCAGATGGGGGAGAATTATTTTGGTACCGGCTTAGGATGTGAAGGTGTCACTATGTTACTAATACTGGAATGTCTTTGGAGCAGGGATTGGGCCTCATTGGACTGTGGGGACGGGGGGAATTCCTCGGGGACCAGTGTCTAAGAGGACCAAGAGAAGAGAGACCCCAGCCAGAGAGAACAGGACACAGGTGGCAGTGTGAGACAGCTGTGCAGAGAGAGCCCTGACTGTGAGAGCGGGCGCAGAGGTGTCCCAGAGCCCAGGCCGCCTCCTCCAGAGTGAGGGTGTGGGGCAGAGGTGGCGTCCAGGGGCATGTGCCTGGGAGGAGGTTGACCCTGGGAGGTTTCAATCAGCGGAGCACAGGCTCTCACATCTGATTTAAAAAAAAAAAAAAAACAAAAAACAAAGGTGTAATTTATAACTCCAGCCCCACCCTCTGAATCACAAGAGTAACAGGGACTTTGTCCCAGGGTGAGATTGTGAAAGATACTTGTTAGGTTGAAGGAGCTCTTTCAGATCTGGAGTCTGGGCTAGAACCTAATGAAGTGTCCTTTCTCTGAGAAGTCAAGCTAGGTGCAAAGCCCTCTGCTGCCTGGCTGGCTTGTCCTTGCCCCTAACTCTTCCCTACCCTTCCCTCTTGTGAAAAGCTTTCCAGCCCAGGTGAATTCTGGCTTTGCAGTGACTGGGAGAAGGGCTTCGCTCCCTCCCTGTGGGCCCCTCTCCCTGCCCCAGGGCTCTAAGTCTCCAGGATCCTTTCTCCCTGGACAGCCAGTGTCACGTGAGTGAGTGAGTGTCACAGGGCTGTACAGACACAGCTGGGGACTGACCCACCCAGGGCTGTGCTTTCCAGTAGCCCAGTGCTGCACCATGGGAGGAGAGGAGAGTGCTCGCCCTGGGGGAGGTGTTGGGTAGTGGGGGAAAGGGTGACAGGGTGTCTCCAGTGGGTGCCCAGTGGGACACTACCAAGCAAAGTGCTCTGTGCCATGCTGGAGGTAGGAACATGGCCAAGACCTCATCAGCCAGAGGGTGGGCACGAGTTTTAAGGGGACAAAAGTAAGAGGCATCTGGGGCTTTTGAGCGCTTGGTAGGCACTATCCAAGAGCCTCTCAGCAATTACTAGCCTGGTCCCCAGTTCCTAGACAGGGAAGTGGAAGCTTTGAGCAGTACAATGATAAGTGGCCAACGTCGCCCTCAAGGGAGGGTATTGAGTCAAAGTCATACATGCCTGACGCCTAGCTCCTTCTTTAGAAGCATGGATCTGCAAACCACCAAGAGTCCTACTGGGCCCCTTTCATGAGCCCACGAACGTCAGCTTTTATTGTCACTTTGATGAGTAAGCCAAAGTCATGTTAGGAGTGTCATATACGCCCTACTGCTAATCAGAATGGGCTGGAACATTTTTCAAAAATTTGAAGAGCAGGGGTCAAGCCCAAGGATTTGACTCTGGGCCTCGCACATACTCTGCTATTGAGTGTATCACGCTCAGCTCTGAACTAGACCCGTGGGAACAGGTAATTCTCCCTGCAAGGCCTGAAGAGGGTACTCGGGCTGCTGGAACAGCTCCGCCTGGTTGCCATGTGGGGCCCTCAGTGTGAGGTCTGCATAGTTCAGGGCGGCACCCACCCCCATGTGTCCAAGCAGCTCAGAGCTTTGTGAGTCTGGGTGGAGGTTCCTCCCTGCGCTGGCTGGGCGCTGGGCCCAGGCTGGGCCTTTCTAGGTCAGGCGGTTCTATCTTCAGCCTGGCCAGAGGATACAATTTGTGTAAACTGCAGACATTGCAGGCATGCTGTGTAAACATAGACTATCTCCCACTCCAGCCCTTCCTCTGGGGAGGCTCCTTCAACTGGAAGGCTGGATTCCAACTTCTTATCGATGTGTGCTTCCTACTCTGATACAAGGAAGCTATTAAAGTCCGTTTCCTGGTATTGCCTTGACCCCACTAGGGTATGCTCCTGTGGACGCAAATGTCCCTTTGAGGAGAACTATTTTTCACACTCCTCAAATCTACTACCCGGTCTCAGATCCCCCCACATTAAACAAGCCTTCAGGAATTTTGAACATGCTTTTAGCCAAAGCCGAGCCCTTAACATTTACTTTTTACTTGGGCTGGTTTAAGCGTGTTTACGTGGCTTTCCAGGCCCTCCTTGAACAGCTCCCAGGCATCTTGCACTTTATTTATAAACTTTGTTTCCTTCCAGTGTCAGTGTCCTTTTCACCAAGCCCCATGTAAGCCCCGCCACCTCTGTGAAGGTTTCCTTGTATTTCTTTGGTTCCTCTCGCTCTTCTGATTGTGAAAGTCCTACTTTCCTGTCTTCCCAAGTCCTACTGAGGAAAGAGGAGGAGAAAGAAGTGGTTGAGACCTTTCCCCCAGATCTATCTAGGAGTGACTGGTGCAGGGTCTTGCTACACAGCTGGGACTCATAGTGATCCTCCTGTCTCAGCCTCCCCAGCGCTGAGGTGCTACCACACGCGGTTTTGGTGGCCTCAAGGATCGAACCCAGGTCCTTGCGCTTGCCAGGCAGGTGCTTAGACCAATGAGCCATCTCCCTAGCCCAGACTTGATTTTTGTACTGACCATGCCTGTCTTTATT